AAAAAAAAAAAAAAAAAAAAACATAGGTACTTTGCTGCGAAAAAAAAGGAAAAAAAAAAACAAGAAAAAGAAGAAAAGAAAAGACAAAGAAAAAAAAAATAACTTGTTCACAGTTTTTTTCTTTCTTTAACAACCAAATTTTGTTAGATAATAAAAATTAAAATGTTTTTTTATTCTTTGTTAGTGTCAAAAAAAAAAAAAAGAGACTAAAAGTTCACACGCTGAAATATCCTTGAAAAACTAACTGTTTGCAGCAAAAAAAAAAAAAAAGCAAACAACATTTTTTTTTTTTTTTTGCTGTATTTGTTTTGTACAATTTCGTGGAGAAACAAACTTAGTTGCTCTATTTAAACGTCATAATCGATGGGCAAACTTTTATGGTTAAGTGAACTCTTTTTATCAAGCAATTTTTTGTTTCAAAATACTTCGCAAAAACGTTTTTACAGCTTAATTTTTATTTCGCTCAATGCAGTAGTAAATCAACCGAAGTCTTCAAAATATCGCTTCACTTAACTTTAACTGTATTTTTGCTTGTTTAATCTGGAAAATGCAGAACTAAAGTAGACTACGAAAAGTGACAGCAGCAAAAAGAGAAGAAAAAAAAGGAAATGACAAAAAGTGATAATAACATTCATCGTTTTTTTTTTCCAGTTTGAAATGAAATAAAGTAAAAAAATTCTTTTTTAGTAATTTGGTTGATTAATTAAACAAAAAATTTTCATGGTTTTTGTTTTTTTTCAAATTTTCTTTTTTAAAACTTTATTTTTGTTGTCGTAATCAACTTTTTCATCTCTGGCCAAAATTGTGTCTCTCAGTTGCGGTAAGTATTATAGAATCAGTGCAATTTTGTGGTGAATTAAAACATTTTTGAAGAAGAATTGATTTCTTATAAATATTTGTAAGTAAGAAAAAAAAAAGTTTTTTTTTTTTTTAAATTTTTAATTGCATTAAATAACATGCAAAAATTTTTAAACATTTTCTTTTCAGTATTATTTTTTGGACTCAATTAATTGTCCAACATGTCGAACAGAGTTCAACACATCAACAGCGTTCAATGCACCAACCAACTACGATTTATGTAGTAAGCATATATTTGCATATTATATTCCACTTATTCAGCAAAAGTACTGAATAACCCCGAGCAAACTTGAATGCTAAGTTAAATTTAAAAAACAGTCGTTCTGTTAAACTATCCAAAAAAAAGCTAGACCATGCTAAGATTGTCATTAAAAATGGGAAGTAACAAAAGTGTAGTTAAGACCAAAAGAACACTAGTCATTTTTGTTCATCAACTACATTAGGAAGCAAATTAGCAAAATATATTATTACTATGAACCAAACAATTGTTTTTTTTCTTTCAGAAATGTTGGAGAGTGTTCAAAAAAGCACAAACGTAACCGTAATTCATGTATCAGACAATAGCTGCACAAATACAACACTTCTCTCGGCCAAATCGGTTGCCATGAGTACACTCAACCGTTTAAAAGGAACACTGCGAAGAAGTGTACGTCAGTGTGCGTGGTGCTCAAAAAAATTGTCAAAAAGGTCATGTCGAAAATCAGCTCGATACTGTCTAAGGTGCTCAGCAAAAGATGACTGCTTAGTAAGTAAATAAGTGCTTGTTGCGTAAAGCTTCACATAAACCTACAGTCTTTTAGGGGCAGATAAAATTGTTTTCAACTTTCGTGTCTCAGATGTTGAATTTTTATTTTAAAAATGCATAATTTTTTTTCTTTTCTTATCTATACTTTTCTAAGGACACACATAGAAATTATAAAAAAAAAGATTTTTTTTGGATAATTTTTTGGAATTTTTGAACATATCACAACGCTGAGTAATAATATTAGGAGTAACAGTAGCAACAGTTGAACAGCTTTTGTATAAAGTATAAAATAATATCTTATTTATGTATATATTTCACTATAACTGTTTTTCAAAAAAAATAAAGAAAATTTTAATAAACTTTTAATGTAACTGGAAATGTTCTTCCTATTGCAAAGCTGCAGTTTTTGATTTACAATAGAGGGTTTATTATTGTAACTGTTAGGTGATACAAAAAAAAATATGCACACTCAGAGACGCTTGTCTTTTTTTAGCGTCTTTCCTGCCTTGAATGTTGTGTGAATCGGCACAACGGACATCAGTTAGCAACCTTTGACGAGCTGGAATATAATCACCAAAAACTGATCAACGATTTGAAAGAAATTAGGAAAAAGATTCAGGTAGTTTTTAACAGTTCTTCAATGACAGTACCGAGTTTGGTAATTAAACTCAACCACATTTTGAAAAACTGTGTAAAAATCCCTTGAGTGATTTCAGCAAGTCAACCGTAAATCACTGTTTAGGAAGCTGGTAAAAAAATCGACTTGCATCTTAAAGAGCTGAAGAACGATTCGCTGATGAAAGTCGACTGTACTACTTTATGTAACGCTAAAGAGGTGAGTGTAATTGGCAGCATTTATACCTATTCAGGCAGTAAGAAATTTAGTATTGTCTTCTTATAAATTATTGAGCAAACAATTGCTGTAGAACAGAAATGCTATCAAACTGTTTTTGGAGCCATCAGTAAAAATTGGTAGAGTAAATATAACTCTTGAAAAAGTGAAAAATACTTCCATTCAGAATCTTCTCACTGAATGTCAGAGAGTACTGGATTTTAATCTGATGGTACTGGAAAATCCCGATACTACACCGTTAGCTCCTTCAGTGTTGATGAAAATTCGTCGAAAACAAATTCATAACAGCGCAAAAATCCTCAAAATGCTTCATTTTATTGAGGTTTGAGGTTTCATTGTGAAAAAACAGTTTAATCTTCTTGCATAATTCTTATTTGAAAAAATTTTTTCATCATATTTGGCACTATACTTATACATTATTTTTTGGACTACAATAATAATAGTATTGACAGAAATAGTAGTAATAATAATAATATCAATGGTAATAATAATAATAATAATAATAATAATAATAATAATAACGTAGCACTTTTCTGCAGAAATGCCGAGACTCAATTAATGAACGTGGAAGAAGACACTTAAGACTGAAAACAGCTCGTAAGTTTCACTTATTACAAGGAATTTTTGAATGAAACTGGTGCTGAAGTATAATTAAGAATTACAGTTGAAAAAAGTAAACCTAATTTAGTTCTCGCATGTTAAGATCTGAGTACCAAATAAATTTGTAGCTGTAGAAGCAGTTCGCAGTAAATTATCGTTGCGGCAGTCTCGAGCAACCTTATTCAGCGGCAACGAAAGTTTTGTGGATTCATTTGGCGCTGTTCTAACTCTTGCAAGTACTGATGAGCACAATTCCGTGATTGATGAAGCAATGAAAGTTTTATCCAGGAAAACAGCAACCAACGAAGAAAAACAGATGGCTTTAATAAACTGTGCAAAGCATTTGCAAGAGCTTTCTAGCGAGTATGTGATTGATATTCAACTGCAGTAATCTAAAAAGACTCAACTCTGAGTAGAAAAGCGTTGAAAATTTCGCAGTATTAGAATTGGCAGTATATCTTAAAAACAGCTAATTACTAATGTCTTTCTCAGGACAATGTCTGTACATTCACTGCTGTTATACGGAGATGCATTTTTAAACATATTCTATCAGCTAAGCCGTTTGGTATCGAAGTATCCGCCGTCTAAGGATGCTTTAACCAGGAAAGATGTATGGAAAATTATTCAATTTGCTTACACGAATCTGTTGAAATGTGCGAGCAAAGTTAGTCTTTTTTACTGATGTGGCGACTAGTAGTTCAGATTCCGAACTTTTGGTAGTCTATAGTTTTAGCAATTGTAATTTTATAGAAAAATCCAAAAAAAAGACAATTAAAATTATCAACAACAGCAGTTTTTTAGCACTGGCCAAGTCAGCATCCTGACCGAGTGGATCTGGTTGACGACTTAGCTTTCTTATGCTCACTATACTCTGACGTTTGTGATCATGCGACAATAACAATCTGTATGATTGAAGCGGCACGAGCTCGAGCAGCTTCTGATAAACTTAGTGAAAACGAAAAAGAAAGCCAAGAGATAAGACTAAAAGTCTGTACTACGCAGAAATTTTTATATTTAACAAGCTATATGCTTTTAATCTAATAAACACATCTGTAGTTAGAATCTGAAACCAAAATGTACGTTTACAAATTTTCTAATTTTTTTTTGTTGTTCCAACTTTAACACTGCTGTACAGCGTTCGAGAACAATCTTGTTTATTAGTTAAGTTACCCTTTAAATCTAAACAGTAACTAATAGGCTTGTAAGTTAGCGATAACAGCGAAATTAATGCGAACGACACAGTTTCAGTTGATCGACGATCATCTTTTGGAGTGTCGACGAATACAGAAGTTGCAGGAGCTATGTACAACGAAACGACAAAGCCGTTTTTGCCGTTTCAAAAGATGGTGGCGACGTTTGTCAAAGTGTTTGAAGAAGAAATTCGTAAAAACACAGCGGGTTGCCCCAGATTCATAAACTTTTTTATGCATAGTTATCCATAAAGACATATACATATATAAATAGTATGTTTTCAGACAACCATTGTGATAATACGAAGTCAGACTAGCGTCATTAAAGTTGTAACAACAACTTTTAAAACAAAACGTTTTAAATAATTAATGTGTTTACTTTTCAATCGACAAAAGCATTTGTTAATGTTTTTTATTTCATCGTCAGTACAGTTCCAAAAAAACACAATTTTTTTTAGTTTTTTCATTGTCTGTTTTTTTTTCTTTTTTGTTTTCACATACTCACAGTGTTATTTGGAATTTATTGTGATCATTACTTAAATAGCCAAAAAGCCCAAAAAAAAGACAGGCGAAAATAGAGAAATGGCTAAACGCGTTCCAAAGTATAGTGACAGATAAAATTTGAAATGAAGAACAAGACCGCGAACTAATCTGTAATGCATGTATCACGCTTTCTCTGGATTCTTTTAAATTTTCACTCAAATGGAAACAAATGTGGCATTGAAGAATGTAGCCAATTAGTTAGCCACGACCAACCATTAAACGCTGTCGACATTTCGGTGAAACATTTACATTACTGCAACAGCAATCTGTTTGTAGGTGTGTAAGTCTGTCTGTCTATGTATTTTTGTGGCCCAAACATCAGAAAACGGATGTCGTCGATTCCGTCTTATCGTTGTGGGCAACCAAAAAAATGGAAAACATTAAAGTGGATGTAGTTGTTAAACTATCTGAATTATAGTTGTCGATAAATGTGAATGTTTTTTGGGTTAAAATAGTATTCTGACGACTCAGTCTTTAGTATCACCACATCTCCACCTGTCGTTTAGCTTATTTGGATTTGTTTGCCAACGCGTCAATTTGTTTGAAAAAATCCAGTTGATTGATATTGTCTGAAATTACTGACTCAGTTGTAAAATACTGAAAATACTGGCAATTTTGATCATATATGCTCGCAAAAACAAAGAAAAAAAAGATTTTGTAATAAGCACGATTATCTGCTTCAAAATAAAATGGGAAATTTTTTTGAGAAAAATGCAGTTTTAAGGCAGAAGCAAAAGTAACAAAAAAAGGGAAGCTAAGAGTTACTCATAAATCTGTTAAAAACTCTCTAAAATAGATAAAAAATGCTATATCACAAACTAAATTTGTTATCATTTTCCTTGCGAACATAATATAGAAAGTTGCTGAAAGACCATCATTGAAAAAAAAAAACAGAAAGATTAATTTACCGCTAATACACCAAAACCAAATAATATTTCTTCATTTTTTTTTCGCCACAGCAAACTACAGAAATCTTTTAGTCGTAATAATTCTTTTTAACTATCTCAGAAACTGCTCAGTTGTTTAATTGATGAATAATTTCTAATATTCTTGCAAATTTTGTTTCATTAACTGGGTTTCAAGAAACATGACAGACTTAAAAATTTTAAGATAAGAAAGGAACGTTTCATCAAAAATAAATATGATATTTGTATAGCGAAAGTCAACATTCCTCTCTTTTCTTCCGCTCCAACTCTTGTTATTCTTTTATTTTTGCTTTTTTGGGTACAGTATTTATTAAAAAAACTAGATGACAAAGAATGAGTCAAAATTGTGTTAACAGCACAACTGCCTAATCACAGTTTTTTGAATTAGTCATAACAACGTTGAGAATTGTTGACAGTTTGATGAGAAGTGGAGTGTTAACGATGATGATAATGAATGACGATTGGAGATTATAAAGCTTGATAATATTGACGACTGTAGGCCACTGATAGTTAGATCTTTTTCCTCTGTCAGTTCTTAGAGCTGTTTTTAAGTGTACTTCATTATCAGAGAAACAAGTGAAAGCGGAAAAATACAGATAACTAGTGGCCTTGTACACTGAAAAGATAAAAAATGGGTGACGAATGCAAAGCTTCTAAACATAATCGCTCTCTAAATATGAAGAAAGGTAAGGTCAGTGCATTCGTTAAAAGAAACTCTGAATGGCTACTGGACGGTGAACTTCCTACAGTGCGTGAACAATGGAGCAGAAAGTGCCTTAAAGAAAGAGTAAGGAGCCGAGGTGTGCAACTGAATTACATTTGAAGATTGTAATAAATATTTAAATACCCCTATAAATATCTAAAATCAACATCCTACTGGTGTCTACAGAGAACTGATAAAAACTGTAGATCGGTAGATTTTTGCAACTATGCACGTATTTATGTATGTATTTATGTAATTGCGTATTTTAACTGTATGTCCTCGTATGGTATTTATTACATTTGGATTTCGATGGCTGTCATTTGTTGGCACTGTTTCTTTCACTGCCTTCAGTGTTACTTTATTAGTTGATGGTTACCAAACTTCCATAACGAATGATCTTTTAGGTTGGCTGATTGTTAGGTGGTAGTACAATATGTGTGGTATTTGCTAATTCCGATGTAACACTTAAGAACTCCAACACTGTTGCTGCACTGTGACATTCTCAAACATTTTGCTCTCTTCCGTCCTCTCTATCCAAGTCCATTTTTTTTTTTTGCTGTGAGTGAACAATAGTAATGCATCAACGTTTTTTGTAAAGGAATTGTCGTAAACGATTGAAAAGCCAAAAGAAAGAAAAATCTTTGTAAATTATTATTTTTGATGCTCTGTTTTTATTTCATTCAGTACTCTTTGAGACTATCGTCATCAGCAACAGCAATAGCAGTAATGATAAATGACCCAACAAAGCAATATTTATTGAAATCTATCTTGCTTGCTCTGTTTATTGTCATATTAGATACCTGTCGTTTGGGCAAAAAAATAGAACTATATACTTTATGAATATATAAACTAAATGTTATATTATCTGTTCGTCTTCATTTATTTATTTTTTTCAAACTGTTACTTAGACTGACAGTTATACAGAAAAGTTTTTTGATTTTATTTTTTATTTTTCTGCAAACTGTCAAGTTGTAAGTACTGTTAAGTTGTAAATGGTCAATAAAAAAAAATAGATGCATTACATGGAAAAGGAAAAGAACCATTGCGCTTTCTTTTTTGCAGCAATTACTAAAATTTACTGCCTGCAAAGCCGTTTAATAAGACCGTTTAAGCTAACAGCAACTGTATTAGCTAAACGAATACAACAGAAACTGATAGATACAGAAAGAAGTAAGGAAGGAAGGTTTGGTTGTGCCACAGATGAAGCAACAAGCATACCATCGATTGTCAAAATTTCTCTTCTTTACACCAAATACTCAACATTTTAGGTCAACAAAAATTAATCATATATTTTAATTTTTCAAACGCAGATTAAAAAAAAGCATTTTTTATCTTGGATTATCATGCATTAGTCATGTTTGGGAAAAATTATTTCAGAGACATTTTTATTGCAGGAAAAAAAGAATGCTGGAAGATTTATTCTTCAAAAACACACACACAAACTATTCAGAAACGCTTAAATAGAACTCCATTGAAAAATTATCTTCTTTATCTTCTTTGTTCTCATCTTTAGTTTTTATTCTTTTCTTTTTACAGCATTCGGCTTGTTCAACTTTTTCAATTTTTGAATTGAACAGTAACACCGAGAAGACTACGCTGTTGGTACTGAATTATAGTGATGATGATGATGATTTCGACGTTGTTGATTATTTTGCCGTTTCTACTGATGATGATGCTGATGACGTGGATGAAGGTGAGAATAACTGTTAAGACCGAGAGTTGTCTGAGGATTAAAAGATCCTTAGAAGTATATTCGAAGAGAGTAAAAATTTCTTAGTTTTTTCTTGTAAATATTTTATTTTCTAATGACAGTTTAGGAAACACTTTGTATAATGAAACAAAACAAAAAAGTAGCAAAAAACAGTTTTTATTTTGTGGTACTGTAAAGCCAACTTAGTTTAGAGTTTTTTTCAAATTAATAACATTTGCGTGCTGATTATGAAACTAATTGGCGGCAATTTGTTGAGCACTTTTTGCAAAACAAAAAAATTGTTGTCTGATCATCGAATTTCATTTTTTCGACTGTTTTTCAACCTTCTCTCCGCATTGTCCAACTTCCCATAACCGCGTCATCAGAACCGTGGCATA